TAATAAAAAAAATTCATTCACTACATTTTACGGGGTTTTACATTTATAAATTATTTTCGTGCGGTGAAAATTTCTGGAATTAATCTATTGTATTATTGATACTATTACGTATTATTTTTGAATAATACGTATTATTATTATTACGTATATTTTTGTATAATATGTTGTATTATTATTATTATTACGTATATTTTTGTATAATATATTGTATTATTAATTACGTATTATTGGTATAATTTGTTGTATTATTTCTACTGTTGCATATTATCGGTGTTATTAGTATAACTAGTACGTTTTATTGTGTAGATAATTTTCTCATAATTATTTGATTTTTAAAATAAGTAATTATATGTTTTATTAATTATTCTTGTTTAATTATACAATTTATAGTATTTTTTCTTCAGTTGCGTATCAGCAGTTTTATTAATACAACTGGTACGTTTTTATTTGTAGAATATTATTCCATGATTATTTTGATTTTTAAATATCAGTAATTAGTCTTGAAACGGGTGAAGGCTGCAACATCGCTGCCTGCAGAAGGTGGCCGGGTGATGACGTGACCAACGGCAAGGTATGATGAGCCTGCTGGTGGTTGGCTTCGCCCGTCCGCAACAAAGTAGGACGGCGAGCAAGGCAATGGTGGGCAGGAGGAGGTGGGCTTGGTGATCTCGACTCGGCAGACGGAGGAGGATGATGGGTGGTGCTGTCGGCTTTCAGGGTGAAACGAAGGTGGGGCGATGAGGTCTCAAGGTAGGCACGCGAAGGCGGACGGCGAGGGCGGGGTTGGTCGGAAGGAAGGGAGCCATCGTGCCACATCCGCAGCAACGTCGCCGCCTCGTTCACAGGCCCTTAGCCTCGTAGGCAAGATCTCGCTTCTTCTTGTTATTTCAATAATTATTAATTATATGTGTGGATTAGTTGTAATATAATTATTTTGCGTTGGTTGTTTGGAGAATAATATTGATTTAAATCATAGTTATATGATAATTAGTATATCAGAATAATTATGATAAATTAAAAGAATTTATTTTAAAACAGAAATTATTTTTGAATGATTAACGAGGAATAAATAAATTATTTTGAAAAAGGAATTATCTTGAAAAGGAATTATTTTAAGTTATTAAAATAATAAATAATTTAAAAAATATTTTGAGAAAATAATTATTTTAGATGTATTATAATTTAAAAAGAAATTAGTTTGTAAAATGATTTATTTTAAATAAATAAGTGTATGGTTTTAAGACTAGTTATCAATATAATGAGAAACAATTTTAAAAGAATTGATTTGGGAAAAGAATATTTTTGAATAATTATTATGAGAAATAACTTAAGTATTATTAGGAATTAATAAATTAATGATTTGAAAAAAAATAGTTTAGAATTAAAAGGATTAATTGATTTATAAATATATATTATTTTATTATATTATAATATGCGAATGTTACCTGTGTTTGCCACATATTACAATGATACCGATATTTTGACACTCTTATTTATACACATAATATTTAACTTGTTCGATACTGTAATATGATTAGCTGTAGTGTATATTGTGATTTCCTGTGTGGGACTATTTGACATGAATAACTGTGTGGAAGCTTGTTATTTTATCACTTAGTTGTTATCCAATAGGAGATGTTGTACATGAAGACGACTCATGTTAAAAGTATGATTTATAAGTGTGCTTTAAAGCATGGCTATACTCACTCGACATCGATATCCCGATGTGAGGAGTTCCGAGTTCCCTTGATATCGATAGCTATACTCACTCGACATCGATATCCCGATGTGAGGAGTTCCGAGTTCCCTTGATATCGATATCCCGGTATGAGGTTTCCTTGACTATTACTATTATACGATATCCCGGTATGAGGTTTCCTTGACTATTACTATTATAGCATTGACTAGACAATGCACTCTTGATCGGATGTGTTATGGGTCACGGTTATTTTCATAGTTTATAGAAGTCGTTCCATGGTAACTCCGTGGCTAGTGCACAATATTTCATATACATTTGCTTAATTAATTTGACAACATGGGGTTATAAAGGGGAATTGGAATGAGAATATAACATGTATATAAACTGGCACAATCCTTTCCTGTTATAGTGATATCGTGAGTTTTATATACATGGGCCAGATGGCCAATACTTGACTTGAAGGCGGCCCCCGGACGACTTTATGGGGACCCGATTATATACATGAAAATATTCTTCTCCAATTCAAATAACATGTAAAACAAGAATAATATGCTTGCGTGTACTATGATGGACTTTGTTAGTTTTGTTGAGATGTGGACCACTGAGTTGTGATAGGATGGTTAGTAGTATGATTTCGTCCCTTGGATGATTATGGATTCTTGTGAGATGTAGGCCAGTTGTTTTTCTTTTCATACATAGATCGGGATTAATATTTAATTATCTACAATTTGAGACATATGGTATATACATGAGGGTTTCCTTGTTTGGATTATTTCGCTCGACGTACTACGTCTCTTGTTGTAGATTTTCAAGTATTAATCCCATCTAGTTATATGACCTTGTTATGTGGATGATTATAGGATGGCTATCTGCATGATCGTGTTACTCAGATGTTTATGAATTCTCCTGACTGTTATACTCTAGTAGCGGATTGTATCTAGCTTGTTAGTATTACAGTTGCATGTTCCTATTGTTACTACTATTATTACATGATCCTATTTCTGTTATCGCATTGACTATTATACTCTAGTAGCGGATTGTATCTAGCTTGTTAGTATTACAGTTGCATTTTCCTATTGTTACTACTATCATTACATGATCCTATTTCTGTTATTGCATTGGTCACTCTTCTATTACCATTACTGTTGTTGCATCTGTTATTGCCTTGGTCGTTCGACCGTTCTTTATCCCTTGTGGGATCTTGTCGTGTGTCATGCACGCTGACGTACACTTGTTTTATCTGGTGTATGTCAGACTTAGAGGAAGAACAGGTTCAGATCGATGTATTCTATATTTCTTTAGTTTTTAGTTGTTCAATTTTGTATAAGGGCATGTTTGACTCGAATATTATGTCTTGGATGATAATTATTTGTGATATGTATTATTTTATTCTGTGTTGTTAATTATATTCTTGCTAATTGTGATCAGGGATCTGTGCCTTTGCATTATATTTATTTTCAGACGCTTAGCGTATTAGGTTGAGGAGAAACGATTATTTTATTTGTTCTTCTTAATCTAATACGTCGCGGGCTTGTTCATGTTTCGATTCCCCTGTATTTTGGGAAGCAGGGTGTGACAACCACCTTCCCCAAGATCATCTCCTTTATAGCTTAAAATTGGACACAAGTTTATTATTCTTTTGTTCAATTTCCAATCATTGTCAATCTAGTGTGTCGTTAAACACATATAATTAATAGTTTGAATGGAAGTCCAAGTATCAGTTGTCAGTTACACCCTCTGACATGTAGCTTTCAATAAATTCTTTAAATTTTTTTCTTCAAGGTAAATCTCATAGCAATCTCTTTGGATTGTCCAACGAGAAGGAATATGAAATCTAGGCAAGCGGTGGACATGAAATTTTTAAACCCTAAACCCTCTACTAACTTGAATGGAAGCTCGTCTAGAATGATAAAATAATTGAGGGCTTTTCTTATGGCTCCTTCATCATAACTCCAACTACCAAGGGTTCCCATTTTCGTACTAGCTCCACTTTGTGAATCAATATCTACCTATAAATTTAATAACTTCTGTCGAGTGTTGACATTATGTGGGTGCTTTTTGCAAGATTCCATGTGATTGAGTAGTGATGTAGTACCATTTTTTTACAATGTGCAAAATACACTTTTTCATAATACTTGCATTTTGCTTTTGGGTCACCATTTTTATCTTTAAACTTAGTAAAATGATCCCATACATCCGACCTTCCTTTTATTGCTTACCTTTTAGTCAAAGTCTGAGAGCCTTGTGTAGATTGATTAGAATCAACTTGACTTGCATTTACATTAGGATTCTCCTTTTGAGAAGCTTGCAGATTATTTCAACAATTCAACTTGATTAGAATCAACTTTTTAGCACACTAACTTTGTAAACTATTCAATACTTTGTAAGCTATTCAGTATTCATCCATAGCTATTCATCCAGGGGCTCAACTAGAACTAACACACCACTAGAACTAATGTTTATATTAGAAATAACACTACCTGGAAGTTAGAACTAACATGACATCAGCTAGAACTAACACGAGAGCCACTAGAACTAACATGGGCTCAACTAGAACTAACCTACAAATAAATCTAATGCACAAAAACCCTAAAAGTTCACCAAAGTATCAAATTCACCAATCAAGCGCAAGAAAGACGAGATCAATATTTTCCTAACCCTAAGTTAGAAATTGAGAGAGTTGAGAGAGGGAGTTACGATGTGAGACCACTGAGAGGACATCAGATCTCCAAGGTGATGGCATCAAAGAAATGATTTTTAGTTTATACCTCGGGCTCGGCCTCTGCGACGGCGACGGGTGCGGGTGTCCCTCCCAAAGCCGGAGATAGATCCTGAGCCTGAGGAGATGTTATGGCCTCGGCCATGAAGACTGCGGACTGTGCGGACACTACAGAGTGAGAAGCGCGGCGGAGGAGCGACCGAGTGAGAGAGAGTGAGTCGTGAGAGAGAAGAAATGAGGAGCAACGGGCTGGGGAAAGGGAAAGTGGAAATGAGTTTAGGGTTTGAGTGACTGAGTCTTTGGGGTAGTGGGTCGGGTTTGAGATTCTGGTATTGCACTATTGGGTATTCGGTCGGTTCGGATCGGTTCAGGTTGAAAATTTTTCAACCCCGACCGAACCGACCTACTCATAAAACCAATTTTTTTGGATCGGTTCAGATTGGTTTTTTCGATTTGGCCCGAACCATGCTCAGTCATAGTGCACACTAGTGCTAATAAGTTACAGATTCTACGTACTACTAGGACTTTTGCGCAAAATTACCATCTCGTTCGATTCGTTTTCCCCTTCTCGCGTATGTTATTATTATTATTATTCCTCCTCCCCTCTTTTCTAAATTCCGACTGTTCTCCTCTCAGTGTAGGGTCTCAAATGTCTTCTAGCCGAAACCCTAATTAACCCCCCTAATCGTGACTCTAACTGAGATCGAAAGCGCGATTGAAGGAGAAAAGATGTGACGCCGTGGAAATAATCGTTGAATTTCCACAGCCAAACAGCTAATTTTGGTGGAATTTTTTTCTAGATTTTTTTTTTTGAGGGGGGGAGGGATGAAGGACCCGTTGCATAGGACGAAGGTCGTGCTTCGGCACTTGCCGCCTTCGATCTCTCAGTCGGGGTTAATGGAGCAGATTGATGTCAAGTTTTCGGGCCGATACAATTGGTTCGTGTTTCGCCCTGGAAAGCAAAGGTTAGTTTTTTTTTTCTTTTTTCGTTAACTCTTTTGGCAATTTGTCGTTTATGTTAATCTGACTTGAAAATTTTGTGCCTTGAATCTTAATTTGCGGGTGAGCGGTTGTAATTTATAGTTATATTTTGTAAAATAGTGATATTATTTACTCGAACATAATAGCAATGGGATTTTTATGCATCAATTTGAGTATGTTTTTGGCTACAAGTTTAGTTTCTGAGGTTTTCATTGAGAAATTTTAGTTATTTTTTGCTCGCCCTAATGGTGTGGGTATTCACTCCTAAGACAAGGGGCTACCATATGTTTTTAGCTATTGTACATCTTCCTTCTCATGGAAAAACGAGTTGAACGAAGGGAAAAAGACCCATGGAATGGTGGAAACCAACTCTAGTAGAAGAAAAAGAGAATTCTAAACCCATTAGATTGCACCTCCAAGAAAAAAAAAAGGAGGGGATTACAAATAATCAAATTCATCTCTAAGAGGATGAATAAAAAGCATGTCATCTTTATCTTTATATCATGTGGGTTTTTTGCAGTGGCCCCCATCTATAAATCCATAAAATCCATCAAAGCGTTCATCTCTATGGGCCATGTACATTTCTGTTTCCTACCATTCCCTACTGAAAAATCAGTTATGTTTATCATAGGTTCAAGCTTTGCTGCAAATCAAGGTGTTGAAGAACCTTTTGTTGTGGTGACTTGTGTGTTTCATGAATCATATTTGATTTCTTTGTTATTCAGATGTGATGTACGTACAATTAGGTGCAAATATTTGTGCATCTAAAGTTCCTTTTCTTTCTTGCAGTCAGAAGAATCAGCGATTTTCACGAGCCTACATCGATTTCCAAAACCCTGAAGATGTGGTAGATTTCGCAGAGTTTTTTGATGGACACATATTTGTGAATGAAAAAGGTAAAACCTCAGCGAATGCATTAGTAGTTGACTATGTGTTTCTAGATAATTTTGTTATGTGCTTATGCTAAATGGAGATGGATTATATCGTTATGATTCATCATGGCCTAGATTCCTTTTCCATTTCTTCACAATTTACAGCGGTGTTTTCTTATTGTCAACTTTGTTAGAAATGATTCTTTTTCTAACAATTTTATCAATATCTTCTTCCTCATACTGATAGGAAAGATTATATTGTAGAGACCAACATGGCAATCAGCCTTTATGCTAGTACAGTTTCTTTCCAAATTTCATCTGCTTGGTTGCTTATTTTTGTTGTGTTTGGCTTTTTCCTATTTACCCCTTTTAACTAGAAGAGATCTATCATTTTAGTTATTCCCTCTTCTTTTTGTAGGGTCTCAGTTCAAGGCTCTTGTAGAATATGCACCTTCACAACGTGTCCCCATGCTGTTGCCTAAGAAAGACGGTCGTGAAGGGACTATATCCAAAGGTATATTTGTCCTTTTATTTCAAATTTAAACCAGCACGTCAAGTTAAACAGACCACTTGTCAAAAATCTAATGTAAGCTAGTAATTTTGTTTGATAAATAACCAGATCCTGAGTATGTAGAATTCCTTGAGTTTATTGCAAAGCCCGTTGAGAATCTTCCTAGCGCTGAGATCCAGCTAGAAAGGAGAGAAACAGAAAGAGCTGGTTAGTAGTAAAATGAATCTTGGAAGAAAGTACATAAACTATGCATAACCTGTGAATATTGTGCAAAAGGTTATGTTAAAAAAGAAATTAACATTGTTTGACATACTTTTATCTCCTTCCATATTCTTTAGGGGGACCAAAGGAGGCTGTCATAGTAACACCTTTGATGGATTTTATTCGCCAGAAACGATTGGCTAAGACTGGGTCTCAGGTATAAGGCATTGTACTTGTCTTTTATTTTTCGTAAGTAGCCATTGCCTATTTTAGAAAGTTGATGCATTTGGTATATGCTGATGATACTTTCTTGGCATCCTTTTTGGTTTAATGAGTAGCAGGATTGTTGAATGGTAAAACAAACCTTATGGATTATCCTAAAGAGTTAAAAAAAAAGCGATCACATGCCCATGGACTGCAACATGAAACCAAACTGGACCTCTTAAGATATCCTGGTCTGTATCTTGATGTTAGACACCATTACTTTATTAACATGATAAGAGCAACTGTTTACCTTTCCAATATATTCTAAATTTAGATTTTCAATGATAAGACTTGCAGTTTAAAGAAATGGCATTAACAACACAACATTGAGAATCAGTGGTCTCACATATCATCCTATGTATTCTCCTTTCATTATCATTAAATTAATTTGATTGCTTTCTTTGGTTTCTGCAGTGCTGAATGTTTTGTATGGTGAACTTATTAGTATGTACCATAGCTTGTCAGGAACGTGGGACGCTGTAGAGACCCACGATCCAGGTTCAATCATCCCGAATTCGCTGTGGAACACAACCCGATTCACCACCCCCACCAACCCGATTTAGAATTCAATCAAATTAAAATTTTGCAAAATATTAACTCTTTTTTTTTCAAAAGAATAAACAACAAAAAGCGTGACAAATTAAGCAAATAAAGTATGATGCCTTAATTAACATGACCTCATTAAGCAAATAAAGTATGATGCCTTAATTAACATGACCTCAAGTTCCGTCATTTAAAAACCAAACCTAAAATGTACTAATGTCCCCTAGCATATCATGTAACGTACACCGTACCAGATTCCTAATAAGTGGCGCACCATGCTCCCATTCCCATCTTGTGAACCGGAACAAACTGGGTTCCATACAACCATCATATGCACTATCCTGTCACAATGTTTGACATACTTTCAGACTTAGGATTGAAGATCATTTATTTCTACAATCATGGCGTCATACTGATTACTGCTTTGCTAATAATAATACCCACGTCTCTACTGAATATATTCCTTGTTTTTTGTCTTGCGATTAGTATTTGGCGATCTTGTTGATTCTAATGCAACTAGTGCTTAACCTCTTAATAGACCGATTTATGGTTTTTAATATTTACCTTGGAGTTTAACTTTGATCATGTAATAATTTGTGCATAATTATTCAAATTATGCTGGAAAGTACTCCCTAGTTTTTGATGACCCAAGATACTGATCAAATTCAGCCAACCTCCTTTTTAGCACTTAATGCTCAAATTAGTGTAACCCCCCTTCTCCACACTCATATCATGAATCAAAGGGTATTGTGTATCTAGTAATGCTGACTATGACATACCCCTTTATGTTCCTTTTAGATGTGGCAGCTTTTTATGGTTCAATAGTTTAACTGTGGCGGTCCATCTGGTTGTACAGTGCAACTCTCTTGTTGCATTTATTTGGAACATGATATCAGGTATTTTCTTCGATTGGTGTTAACTTGTGATTTGTATCTTCAATCGACTGCAGAGGTTATCTGTCAATGGTAAACTTAGCAGAAGAGCTGGAGGATCTGTGATTAGCAGCTCTGGTTCCTCCAAGAGAGGTTCTGAGAAGCGAAGAGGATCCACTTCAGTGGTACTTCCTATTTGCGACTCCTGGTATCTAGAGGTGTCTACTACCATATTTGCTATAACTTATTTCTCTTCTGTCTATAGTATGTCCCCAGAGATAAAGCAAAGGCTAGCAGCAGTGGGAAGGTTAAGTCAACGTATGTACTAATGCTAAGGAAAGACGAGCAACAGTTAGGGTCTGGGAGCAGAAAAGAAGTATTAGAAGAAGGAACAGGTCTGTCTAATGTAACCTTGTTGTTAAGTTTCCTATGTACTTTAATCTTAAATATCCTATATACTTTAATCTTTATTTGATTTATTTTCTGTGTTTTTCCTTTTCTTGTTTAATGCATGATAGTTTAAAACTTTAAATGCTATTATTATGGACTTCAATTTGTTGATTTACCCCCTTGTTCCCATATTTGTCGCTATATGTCATTGATGCAAAGTTGTGTTAACTTCATTACTTCTGTCAGATTTGTGAAAGCTTGAAAGAGGCAAAGCTTAAAAGCTATAAAAATCAAATGTTATAGAAGGCTTTAATCTTTCTCTTCTTCATCTCCTCTTCGTGTTACACACTGGATGCATCACCCTCTCCCCCTAGGAAAAAAAGAAGAAAACAAAGGAGCTTCAAGTGAGATTTCTAACTAGACGAGGAGTTTTTTGAACCCAAATGAGTTCACAAGGCATAGGCGAGCCCTTTTTATTTGACTCTGAACTAGAGTGTACCACATTATGTCTTTTCTTGGAGCTCTAAGAGAGAGGTTAGGACCTAAGAAATGCTAAACCCACAAACAAATTGTCTATCATCTAGGTGCCTAGCCCAATCAGCATTAGAGAAAGTATGAAGAGTTTGAACAGTTCCTCTTGATATGACCAATTCTGCTGTGTAGAGTGCTTCAAGCATTGAAGAGGATAGTTTATAGTCATCCAGTGGAGGTTCATTGGGCTATACATTTGCTGACAAGATTGCTTGACAAGTGACAACATAGGCAATGTAGGTCGAGTGAGTGTAAGATAGTGAAAGCATCGACGATGCTATTGTAGAAAGTTAGATTGGAGAAAGGTTCAACATCACGATGGATGACTCAGAGCTACTAGAGACTAGAGTGATGGCGGGTATGACATCCTACATGCTAGTGCGAGTCACGAGATCAGACATGTACTTTGATTGAATAAGAATGATGTTATAGGGGTTTTGTGTTTTTTAATGCTAAGAAAGCAGTTGGCAAAGACTCAAGTCCATTGCAAACTCTGTACGGAGGATTGGATGATTGCATCTAGTGGAGCACTAGGGCTACCTGTGATAATGATTTCAGCAAAATAGACAAGCACAAGAAGAATATACTGAGGTATGGTTGAACCAATTATCACTGTTATCTCTATTACAATTATACACATGATAATGAACACTATGGTTCCCATGCCTACCATGGTTGTTGGAAACATGTTAAGAGTCACTTTGTGAAATGGTTGTTGGCCATTGATGCGAAATGAGTTAGATCACGATGGTGGAGCTGAGAACATCCTACAGGTGATGCTCCTATTACTGATTACGTTGAGCGATGTGCACCGTGAGGGAGGTGGCATTGGAGTGCGTGATAAAGAGATTGTCAAAGGAGGAGAGATGCCTCTTATGCGGGGAGAATCCTGTGAAGAGATTCTAGATAGTGACAATGTTACAGAAAGTGCTAGGCTGTCTAGACGTC